TGGTCGAAATAAAGGGAACATCATTTCTTTGAATTGAGTGCACCCTTCCATACTGCAGATGTTCCCCAAGCCATTTCAACATGTCTGGAGTCACGGGGTCGCAACCCGGCCAGGGCAAGCGGGATCCTTGGCGTGTGCATCAAGAGATCTGGGTATCCCAACGTCAAGTGCATGCTGCGTATGGCGGAAAGTCGCAGTTTGATGGTGCCCGGTGCTTTGGCTTCATTGGAGGCACAGTGGACCAAGAAGTCGATGACCAGTTGTTCTTCTTGACGGCTATAGGCCGGAACATATCTGACTGGGTCTTCACCCCTTCGTTTGCAGAAGAGTGACCACCAGCCCCATTGCGACTGGTAGCTGGCGGCTGTGCTCTGCGAGTACCTCGAAAGTAACAGTGAGAATCCTTCTTGGTCGAATTCGTGCCGTCCTTGAACTTGAGCAAACCTAAAGCTCTTTCCCGCGGGGTGCCTTCTGGCAGCAGCCCTTGGTCCACCCAGGAAACGCACGTTGGGTTCTTGCACGACTCTTCTACCTTTCTTGGGGGGGCTGAATCTCACTTTCTTTCTGGTTCCGCCGACTTTGGTGGCCTCCAAATAGACCTTTGCCGATCCTCCTGGGTGGTTTGACCCTCATTTGGAAAGGAGTCTTCTGATGGCCAAAGCCATGGCTAGTATAAATGCCAGCAGTAGGCTGTCAAAAATCATTCCTGAAGCCTGATCGAGATCCCACTCAGCTTCAAGGGCGCAAAAATCATTCCTGAAGCCTGATCGAGATCCCACTCGGCTTCAAGGGCGTCTCCAGGACTCCTCTTCAGTCCTTGGTCAAAATTGCTGAGGTTCGGGGCGGAAAGACCTCCGGCCAAGGAGCTCCCCTCGGCAGTCTGGTGCGCGATGGCGTGATTGCGGTCACGCTCAGCGTCGTCTTTGGTATGCCCTTGTCCCTCGCGCTTCCGCTGCTTCTTGATCTTCTTACGGCTGGCGGCTGGCGGTGTCTGGCGCCCGCTTGTTCCAATTGCCCTCTCGTCGAGCCTCATTCTGGAGGTCCGCTCTGAAGGTTCGAAGGTCTTTTTGGGCTGCATCATGAAGCGCTTTGTCCAACACCTTACCGGCTTCTGCAAGATCAACATCCAACAAGGGTCCTGTTCCTGGTCCCTTCTCTGCTCGACTCCAGGTGTCGACCTCCTGTCGGTGCTGAGCCGCTCTTTCTCGTGCCCTTTGGGCTCTTCTGGCAACCCAGACGGATCTCCCGCCTCAATCTCTTGCTTCAGTCGGTGATCAGAAACAAGCGGAACCCCAGTCCTTGGACCGACGGGGTTCGCGAGCTCAAGTCGTAACATCTGATCGTTGAGGCCTGCCCGGTAGTCGGTTTCTGCCTCAGTGTAGTGCTTGACCCTTTGGGCTCGCTCTTCGGCTTTGGCTTCAGCCTCCGTCTCACTCTTGAGTCTTGCCTCGGGCGAACTGGTTGAAACGCTCCACGAACTCCGACTTAACCTGAGAGGCTGCTGGGGCTTGCTGGACAGCTTCTTGGAGACATGCCCAGTTGGCGGCGTCGGCGTCGGCCACAGCTTTGAGAAGATGCAGGTGCACATCCCCGAACTTGACCTTTCGCCTTCGAGGCCTGGGTAAGTCTCCTTCGGTGATCATTTCTAGATCCTTAGGTGGAAGGTATTCGATTTGTTGGCATCTCCAGGGGGCGGTGGCGCATTGGGCACACCCTCTGCTGCTGGTGCTCCTCCTGGGGTCTCTGTTGCACTGGGGACGTCGACACTCTCTTCAACCTTCGTGGGTATCACTTCTTCGCTCTTTGGAAGAGCTGCGGTCGTTTCGGCTTTGGGCTGAGCCCTTCGGTCAGCCCTTCAGTCTTCTCTTGTTTAGGTTCTACAAGTTCTGTATAGACGCTCCTGCTGGGATGGCTTGGGCGATTTCCACCTCAGAGTCAGTGCCCCCCCAATCAACTTCCATTTCTCCCTCTGCTTCCCCGGCGAAACGCGCCTCGGGTCGCGAGGTCCACAGCAAGGCCATCTTCGAAGTTCTCGGGTAAGTTGCTCCCGAGGCCTTTGGCGACGTCTAGGATCTCTTCGGTAATGGGTTTCTTCTCTTCTTCTGGCATGGGACCCCATCTGCCTGTCACTTTGGGCCTGATGGGCAGCGCAGCGCTTGACATCGGTGCTTTGGCAGAGCTCGCTGCCGAGCCATGCTCATCTTCTCGGTCCTCGAGGCTTCTGCCTTCAGGTAAGCCGTCCCACGGGTGATCCTAATGATTGCGGCTGGCGGTACTGTGGAATCACAGAGCCACACCTTGTTGCCGGTCTTCCATCCAAGGTCAACGGCTTTCTTGACATCGATATCTATCCGTGTTTCGAGGTCGACCCGCCACCGCTCTGCGTGTTCCTCGGGGTCGTGGAAGTGGACATCTCGGTCGCCTCTCACCAACCCCTTCTTCTGAATGGACGCAGTGTGACGTCGGTAGCTGCCATGCGCCAGCAAGGCCGGGAGTTCCTCGGTTGGGACCACTGCGGCTGGGCCAACAACTCTCTCCTGCGTGTGGCCCGACCAGGCCACGACCCACCAGACTCCATCAGTGTCTTGCTTCGCAACGAGTCGGTCCTTTTTGTCCTGGTCGAGTGCTTCCAGCAGCACCCAGTTTTGGAATCTTTTGCAGGACTGATGCGCGGCGAGTTGTTGCCATTTCACCCAACCTTCTTCGCTGATGGGGCACTCCTCGGTGCCCGCCGCATGCATCAGCACATAGCACATGGCTTTCATTGCCTGCTCATGGAGAGGGAGACCTTTGTTCTTGTTCTTCTGTTTTCCCCCCACAAGGCCGGCTGATCCCTGCTTGGGATTGTCTTGGAGCCACTTCATCAGGACCCTTTCAGTCTCTTCCTCCCAGGCGAGTCGACAGACTCCCACTTTGTCGGGGAGATTTTCCCCCAGGAGTTGTTGAGCTGCCCAGTGCACTGCCGCATCAGCCAGCTTTCTGGGGGTCGCGTCAAGTAACATCTTGGGGTCTCCGCATGCGGTGCGTCTGTCTTCCTCCTGATATCGCGAGCTCCTGCCGCGCAACAACTTCGCCGCTTCAGCAGGTGTGATTGTTCGAGCAGCCGGGCCGTCGGGCCCCTTCCCAATCAGCAAAAGCCGATCATCCCTTTCTGGCTGTCACGATCCGTCACCTGATAGATCAAAAGAGTCTAAATTTACTCCGCTAAGGATTTAGTCCGGGGACTAAAGAGTAAATGATCATTTAGACCGGATCCCGACTAAATTCTCCGAGAGTAAATGATCATTTAGTCCGGGCTACAACTGTGCAATTTGCACTCTCCAGAGTGCAAATTGCACAGTTGGTTTTTGGAGCTCAAACTTGAACAGTGCAAATTGCACAGTTCAGAGTGCAGTTTGCACAGTTGGGTTTTTGTGTTGTAGTTGTTTGTCGCCTTTTTGTTGTGTTGTTTTGTTGTGGGAGTTGTTGTGTTTGTGGTGTTTGGGTGTTTTCTTGGTTGCTTTTTTTTTGTTGTTTGGTGATGTTTGTTGTGTTTTGTTGGCTTGCTGGTTTTTCTGATCGTATGTGTTTTGTGCTTTTGTGTGTTTGTTTGATTGTTTTTGTTTGTTTATTTCCTTCTGTCTGCGCGCCTTTCTTTACTTTATTTTCTTATCTTTGCTTTTCTTTCTTTTTTCATTCCTTCCTTTTTCTGTCCTTTTGTCCTTTTCCTTTCCTTTCCCTTTGCTGTTCCTTTCCCTTTATGTTTTCCTTATCCTTTCCTTTTGCTTGTCCTTATCCGTTAATTTGCACCCTTTCTTGCTGTTGTACCATTTTTTCCTTCCTTGCCCTTGCCTTTCTTCATTTTTCAATGTCTTTCCTCTTGTTCTTTCTTTGTCTTTCTGCCGTTTCTCCTTTCTTCCTTTTCCTTTTCGCGTCTTACGTCGTTCTTCTTCCTTCCTTGCTTTTGCTTGTGCTTCCTTTGTTTTTTTTCTCATTTCTTTTCCTTTCTGTCGCTGCTCCTTTCTTCCTTTGTTCCTTTCT